CTCGCCTGGTGCCCTCACCCACTAAGCCACAGTGGGTGCAATTATTCCAATGGTTCCACCAGAAGCAGAGGGAAAAAAGGAGGATGGATCTGGAGGGCCTTTCAAAAGTGGGGGGGTCTCTCCTCTTTCCATCCCCTCGTCCACCCAGAATCTTCCAAAGGGACAGAATGGCTCATGCAGCAGCAGCAGCTCCTCTGACTTACCCTGGTCTGAACTGTTGGATCCTTTGTCACTTGCTGGAAAAGAAGGAAAGAAAAAGAGGGTGAGCAGGTTGCTCTCTTGGCTTATAGGGGGAGAAGCTCAGCTCTTTCTGACTCCAGCTCCCTCCCTCCCTCCCTCCCTCCCTCTCTCTCTCTCACACACACAATCAAAGACACATAAATCCAGGAGTCGACAACCTTTTGGACCTCGGGGACCATCAAACTCATAATTTCAAATCCCGCAAACCACTAACATGAATTTTGACGGACGGTGGCTTGCTGATGTTGGTGGGAAAGTCGGTCCCATATTCCAGAGCTGCAGTAGTCACAGGACTGGCCTGTGCACCGGCCTGCCATGGATGAGCTGCTCCGGGATGACCACAGCTGACTACTGCAGCTCTGGAATATGGGACCGGCCTGTGGTGGGAAATCTCTGCCGTAGCGGCTGGCACCTGTAACGTGCAAATTTGCAGGCAGTGCAACATGCAAAAAGCAGCGCAGCCCTCGCCGGCCAGGACGAGGTAACGGTGCTGTTGCAGCAAGAGGGGGCTGGCGGCACAGGCGGGCTGAAGCAGCGATGGAGACGGCTGGAAGGCGCAGGAGCGCTGCTTTACTTGCATTTGTGTGGCGCTCCCGCACCTTCCAGCTCGCCTCTCCTGGCCTGGGCTCTTCCTCGATGGCCGCGGGCTGTAGGGACGGCTGGGGCAGGAAAAGTACTGGCTGGTGGTGGTGGGAGGGGGTGGAGTGGACAAGTCTGCCCTCACCATCCAGTTCAGAGGTCCAGAATGGGGCGTTGTCGGTGTCAGTTTTCTCACGCCAAAGGGTGGGGGCCAGCGGGTGGGTGGGCCATGTGGGTGGGGCAGCCTTGTGTTCCTGCCCAGCATGGATTAATTGCTTTGGGGGAGATATTTCTCTGCGGACCAACAAAATTTTCTCATGGACAACCAGTGGGCGGCAGCCCAAAGGCTGGTGATCACTGCAAAAATACACAGAGATTGAACCAAACTGCTTTGGCTAAAAGGCATCGGAAACAATTCTTAAATTTCAAATGTATATCACACAAAGCCAGAAGTCAGAGTTGGACTAACAAGATACAGATGGATCCAAGGTTGCTTTTTGTAACCAGTTCGTACTTAGAGAGCCTTGTGATGGGAGACCAAGAGGAGATCCAGCTGGCACCCCCCCCCCAAAGCTCCTTTTCCCTCAAAATGCCCCCTTTGGATCCCTGATTATATGGAGCTTCTGAGTCTCATTTGGCCAAGCCTTTCCTTTCTGCCTCCTTGGGAAACAGAGCATGTTCTCAGTCAGGGGGACCTTCCACCAGCTGGGTCTTCTCATCTTCTTGAAGGTTCCTTGTCCCAGGTGTTTCTCCCTGAGGACTCCACTTCCAAGAACAGCCTGGCTGTAATGAAAAGGGGGCCCATCTTCCCCAGCCTAGTTCTTAGCATGAAGAGGAAGATAGCACATGCAAACAACACACACACACACCCCTCTCAACTAATGGTGCCTCTGGTCCCTGCTCTAAATTGGAGATTACATGCAAAGAGGACAAATCACTCACTTGGCGTTGCTTTGTAGCCACCCTGTCGTCTCTCTGCAAGGACAAAAATCAGTGAAAGCTGAAAACAATCCACCAGAGATCATCCAAACTCTCTCTCCGTAGGAGGAAGAACCCCAGGAGATACTTCACAGACCCTTTGTCCCATTTATAAAGACAGAAAGATCTTCAAAATACAAATGTATCTCCTGATTTGCCCCAAGAGAGACCTGCTGCCTCCAAGATGGATGGAGGGGAATTGGGGGAAGCAGCAGCAGCAGCTGGGAGGGGAGGAAGATTTTCATGGAAATCCTTCTCTGCTGCTCTTTGACCAAATTCTTCGAAAGGGACAGAACTGGGAAGCCTCTTCCCAACTCAGAAGAAGACAGGACTGCCTGAATCTCAGACTCAGCTGAATGGAGACGGGAGTCCCAGCGAGAGGCTGAGATCTCAGGGGGCTACGAAAACAGGACAGAAGGAAGCCCAGAAGAAGCTCCCCAAAGGGGGTCCTTCCATCACCCCCCCTCAAAAAAAGATACTCACTGAGGAATACCAGGATCCCAGCAATCACACCCACCAGGACAAGAGCAACCACCACGCAGCCGATGATGATCCCCAGGTTGGATTTTGGTTCTGAATTGGGAGAAAGAGCAGATCATTGAAGGAGAAGCCCAAACAATCTTCCCAAGAGAGACCTAAAGAAGGGAAAGCTGGAAATTCTCCAAAATTAAAAACTCCATGGGCTCATTTTTGTGTCCCTCTCAGGGTAACGTGAAGGAGCCTTGCTAACCGTTGTTAGAGGACGTGTCCTCCTGATGCTGCCTTCTTCTCCCACCAGCCCAGCATGAAGGCAACTGGATCCATCTTTGGCTTTTCGACTCAAAAGCAGCCCTTTGACACCTTGTGACTCTCATCAGCTTACAAAACAAAAACATTTTGGGAATTGGGCAGATCTGCGTTTGCATTTTATTATTTAAAGTAAAATAGTTCATATCACCTAGACTTTTTTTGTAAGTACACACTTTCATTTCTTTGGCTAGTCCAGAACTAGCATAAAATTGTATTTTGTGCTTCCAGAACGTCAGCATGAAAATGGAATACGGTGATATCCAGCTTCTGGACGGACCCACAAATGGCAGAAATAGAATAACGGAATAACAGAGTTGAAAGGGGCCTTGGAGGTCTTCCAGTCTGACCCCCTGCTCAAACAAGAGGCCCTAAACCATTCAGGACAAGTGACTCTCCAGTCTCTTCTTAAATGCTTCCAGTGATGGAGCCCCCACAACTTCTGAAGGGAAGCCATTCCTCTCATTAATTGTCCTCCCTGTCAGGAAATTTCTCCTCAGTTCTAGGTTGCTTCTCTCCTTGCGTAGTTTCCACCCATGGCTTCTTGTCCTGCCCTCAGGTGCTTTGGATAATAGCTTGACTGCCTCTTCTTTGTGGCAGCCGCTGAGATATTGGAACGTATCATGTCACCCCCAGTCCTTCTTTCCATCAAACTAGAAATGCCCAATTCCTGGAACTGCTCTTCATAGATTTTAGCCTCCAGGCTCCTAACTATCTGCATTATCTGCACTTTTTCCAGAGTCTCAACATCTTTTCTATATCGTGGCAACCAAAACTGGATGAAGAATTCCACGGATGGTCTTCCCAAGGCATTATAAATTGGTATTGCTTTGGGGGGTGGGGGGAAGGAGATTTGAGGAGGGAAGTTTAAATTTAAATTTCTCTTGCACAAAATTCAGGATTCCCATTGAATAGCAATCCTTCCACTTGTGAATTTGGTGCTTGCTATAAACAACAACAAAAATAAAAGGAATATTTTATTTTGCCTGGGATATCAGCATAATAATTACATTTGAATATTTCTTGTATCTTGGTGACAAACATCAATAAAAAAATTGAATTTGAATTTTGCCACTTTGGAAGTCCAGTGTACGTTAAGGACACTTCTGAGCATATACAGAACTCTTTGAAAGAGGGCTTTTTTCCTTGGGTTTTATGCTGAGCCTCAGGAATTCACATATCAGATCATAAAATAAGGTGCAACTTCTTTCTTAGAGCAGCAACACACAGTGACCTTTTGACCTTGAAAGCAGCAAACCCTGTTAGTCTCTGGTGGGAAATAAAACTCAGACTTCTTAGCCTCTTTTCTGACTCCTGATGCATCAGTCCAGCCACTCTCTGCATTTCCTGAAGTCGGCTGCACTTCATCCGTTTTAGTCAGAATTTTCCTTCAGAAAAGGGGCAACCAGACTCCTCCTGATTCTTGTACTTTAGGAATTGTGAACAAAAGGGAATCTATTTCTGGTGCTGGGGGCAAGAAACAGGGAAGGCCTAAGAGAGGATCTGAGGGCATTTCATCAGGATCGGCCAACTCTTGGGATGGGATTCTGTACTTTCCATCCCCTGAAGTCAGTTCTGTGCTCTGGTCCCTGCAGCTGCACCAACCTCAAACACTGGAAAAACCAATGGATGAAAGCTCAGGTATGCTCACACCTGGACACACCTGGGGCCAGATTCCTCTCCCACCACTTCCCAGCCTGCCAAAGAGCCCAGCCTTCCCCTCCCTGCAGCCTCTCACCTTCCAGGGCCAGGTCCAGAGGCTCCTGCAGGCCGTCGTGCTCCACGTGGCACCGGTAGCGGCTCCTCTCTTTGGGGTCGATCCGGATGCTGAGCCAGTAGTGGTAGGTCCCATCCGCGTTGGGGGCCAGAGGCTTATGGAGGGTGTCCTGCAGCCAGACCTCCCCATCCCTCGTCCAGAAGGCATCGATCTCCCTGGGGTAGAAGCCGTGGACCTGGCAGATGTGCATCTCCATTCCATCCTCCACCTCTGTCTTGCTTTTCACCATCAACACTGGGGGCTCTGCAGAAACGGCACCCCCAGAATTAACTCTCAGCCCCTCCAGAGCTTGGAAGGGGGGCTGAGAAACTTAGAGAGGCAGGAAAATCTCCCAGCACTTAGTTTTAACCCCAGGATTTAAACTTCACACCTGCAGCATCTCCAAGAGTTTCAGGAAATGCTCCAAATCTGGAAAATGCTCAACCACAAGAACTCTTGATTTTCCCAAATTGAGGGTCCAAGGAAATTCCTCTCTGACTGCTTTGAACTCTGACTGATCTTGGGCTGCTCCCTTCAGGGGAGGGAGAGTGGAGATGGTCTTTTAAGTTCCCTTTCAAGACAACCACAACAACACAAAAGTTGCTCCCTACTTCTTGGTTCCTCTTCTTCTCCCCAGAATCTGAGGCTGCTCCAGGCCTCTTTCCAAGGGACACAACCACCATGTTATGAGCAAGAGAGCCAGAATCAAAGCAAAAAGGGGCTCAGGGATTTTGGAATTTCTCACTGATCTATTTGAAAAAAAGATTTTGTCTCTCAAAAGGGGAGGGGGGGGCAGAGGGAGGTGAGGCCAATGGAAGAGAGAGAAGGTCCTCCCTGGCAGGGAGGGGCTGTTGGCAATCTGAGGGGGGGAGGATTCCCCCTTTGATCCTAATCTCAACCAGCTGATCCTGGAGGGATCAAAGAGCCAAGAGGGGGAGGGGGGGTCTAGATGGAGAATTAATAACAAATGACAGGAAAAGGTTATAATGTGACCCCCCTGTGGGGTGAGGGGGTGTTCCTGAAGGTGGGGAGGGGGCCGTTTTGAGGAAAGAGTCACTAAGTCAGAATTGAGGGAACCTGTTTGAGGTTTAAGAGAAAGATCTACACAAACTATGGGGGATCCCCCCACCCTGGAAAGAGAACCCCTCATCCATGGGCTTCTTTGCCCAAGTGGGGGCTCTGATGGTGTCTTAGGAAGGGCAGAAGAGGAGCCCCCCCAGTGGTGGCCATGGGAGGTGCCCCAATCAGGTGCAAGACTGGGAGGGAGCCCCCTGTGGGATGTGGGGGGAAGGAGAGTTCATGGGGGGAAATTAAGGGAGCCCATCACTCTTGACTACAGTTTGGCTAATCGGGGTTTCACTGAATAGCCCCAAATGGTGGCCTCATGGTGGGCAGTGAACAGGACACCCTGAAGGGCTTTTCCTGCCAGGGAGAGGCTGCATTTCCTGGTCCA